GAAAAAAGACTAAATGTGTAACATTACCGAAGATTGCTAGCCTTCTCGTGTTGTCTTTAGTCGAGTGATGTTATCTCACGCTGCTTTGCCATGTTTACAAGCTTCTCAGCCCGCTAATCGGATATGAGGGGTTCTCAAAGTTCAGACCTTGATCGCTTCATTAGTGTGAGACTGCGCTCCCTCCAGAGCACACGGTGCTAATACAACCTCCCTTCAGACGCAATGCTCCAACTTAGAGTGGTCTCCCGGGGAAGCAGCACCATTAAATATTAATGCCATGTGTTTAGAGTTTTTTTTTTCCTTGTAACGCGGCATTCCTCATGATTAAATCCATGTGTAAAATAGGATCCCGAAGTGTTGCTCTCAAAATATCTAAATTGTACCATGTCAATATGGCTTGTCGATAGAGGACGCCACGATACAATCACGTAGATTTTCGAAAAAAATAGGAAATTCAACAAAATGTGACTGAGAAGGTTTCGGGCCGACATCTGCGATAGATTAAATAGATTAGATAGCTAGCTAATGAGATCGCTAGCGAGATTGATTAGCTAGCTAGCTCGATAGATTAGCTAGCTAGCTCGATAGATAGATATGGTGCCCCCTCCACCAACCCTACCCCTGCCGAAAATGCCACCAATCACTTTATGTGCTTGTGCAAAACTACACTCTCTGACTTGTATGCTATAAGGTCAAAATATTTTGGGGTGTATTCAAGCGGATGCTACTTGCACGTGTTTGTTGTGACATCACAGAACAGAAAACACTTTGACAAATGCATCGTTTGGTTGAGAAATTTAATGATCTACTTGACTATGACATTACTTTCAAAGTCTAAATCTAAAATTGATTCTTGTCCTTCTTTTGGTGTGATTTTTGTTGTCCTAGTTTAGATGGCAATTTTACAATTCCCCCTCAAGTGAACCTGACCTCACTCTCATATTGGACTGCGACGGGTACAAGCATCTTCTTCAATTAGGTCAGGGGCGTTGACAGTACATTGGAAGAAGAACAACATCCTCTAGGAATTGTGTCTGACACAACTGACTCTCTTGAATCTATATTTGGGCCAAACGTGTGGATGTGTGTCACCCAAGACTTCCCACTGGTGCCCAAAGGCAGAGATTGTCAAGGCACAAAGGGAACTCCCAGCAGGCAGTGCATCAGCAGGCCTTGGGCAAGTTTTTATGATACCTTTCAATCACCGATGATTCCCTGCTGAAATGATAGGTGATTTTACTAAGCCTACATGTGACCTCAATTTAACAATTAAGAGCGGAGGAGGTAAAGAAAGCCCCATCAAAGGCACACGCACAACGCCCGGAGCGGTTGTGGAGCCAGTGAAGTTTTTAATGATTTGCCTTGGCTAGGCTCTTCTACTGGAATAGGATATTTTTCTTAAAACGAAAATGTCAAAAGCTCAAATGTCATCTTGACATTATTGTACCATGTCTTAACTTTCATTTGTGTGGGACAAGCCTGCACGGTATGAACAACAATCCTTACCAGTGTTGTCGGTAATGCGTTACTCAATAAGCATTCTGACACGTGAGGCATTCTGGGATGCCGTCAATTTTGTGCAACTGATGTGCATGTTTGAATCAGGTAAGTACAAAGCATTTTCGTTCCCAGTGTGTCAGCTAAAAATAAAAATATTAAGGTGCGTAAATGACTTGCCTTGCATAATACACTCTGTGCCGTTGACAAAGAGTTATTCATCTTCAAAATGTATCCATCCATTCATTTTCAAAGCCCCTTACCTCCATGAGCCTATCCCAGCTGTCTTCGGGCAGCAGGTGGGGTACACCCTCAACTGGCCACAGATAGACGAACAACCATTCGCCCTCACACTTAGGGACAATTTCCAGTGTTCCATTCACCTGCCGTGCATGTTTTTGGAATGTGGGAGGAAAGCGGAGTACCCGGAGAAAACCCACGCTGGCACGGGGAGAACATGCAAACTCCATCCAATCCACACAGGAAGGCCGGAGCCAGAATCGAACCTAGCACCTCTGCACTGTGAGGCCGATGTGCCAACCAGTCAACCACCGTGCCGTGAATCGATGCAGAAATAAAAGTTTTTAAGATGTGATGTTGGAATACTACCAATTTGAATGCATACAAATAAATACTTAGGTTTGGAGGTATTCATTTTTTACACAGGATCGGGTATAGCTGTGAATCTTTTTTTTCCGTGAATAAATCAAATCAAAGTGTGGTGGTGACACTCAACCCTCCTTGTGATTCTCAGCATTTCAAAATGCCGATGACAAATCTATATTTTGAAAACAGTTGATGTTCTACGATATTTGGAAGAAGATTCTTTTGTTGCCACGCGATGTCGGCTATTGTTGATGAGCTGGCATGAGGAGAAAAGGGAGGAAGGAGAAGGGAGTGGCTCAGACGGGGCGAGGAGGTAACAAGAGGGTGGCAAAGGGATGATGGAGTGCATCAAGCTGTGACCCCTCCTCCCCCCATTGCTCATTTACCCTCACCCCCCACCGCATAGAGGAAATTAAAGAGCTGCGTATACAGGAGGAGAAGCGAGGAGGAGGGTGGTGATTTAGAGGAGGGGGGGGGGGGATTGGGACCCCGGCACATTCCAGTTAATTACTGAATAATGAGGAACAATTTATTGTGTTCTAGTTAGAGACATCTAAATGCTTCCTGATACCGCCTGTAGCACAGAACAGAACCCACCGACTATTTATGTTAAACAGTCTTGAACAGGTTTTTAAATGTCGCTTACCTGATTTTTACCTCAACCAAACTGAGAAAGGACTCCCATTTGACTTGGACAAGTGACGACGCAAGGTGTTAAGTGCAGAAATGTCATTATCGAAGCTCGTGTACCGTTGCAAAAGGCTTTTCCTGGCGCTACAGTTTCCCAGCATGCCATCGCTCAATTGCAGATCAAACAAACTTTGAATGACTGAACAAAAAAATAGAGCTCTATCTCTGATCGCTAGCTGCTATTGCAGATTGCTGAGCGCTAAAAACTTCCTGTGAAGGAGGTCATGCGCCACGGGAGGTTAAAGGGGACCACCTTTTTTTATCTTATGATTTTTTTAAATTCTCCTTTTTTGTGAATGTTAAACTAATCGCATGCTTAGGCTGCAGTGCACACTAAGACAAAATAAATAATATTAAACAGCACGCACACAGACACAAAAATCGTGCATTTTCCCCCCCAGACCCTTCGCGTTCGACTTGGGACCTCTCTGCGGACTACGGTTGACTGCGATCGACTGGTTGGGCAGCCCTGGTCTACATGATCTAGATGTAGTGAGATTTTCTTGTGAGTGTCAAGTACTTTTTTTTGCTATGTCTACATCTTTTAATGGCTGAATATGCTTAATTTATGTGACAGAAAACCCAAACCCTCCTCTCTATTTGATAACGTGTCAGACTTGGCGAGTGAAATGTCCCGTCTCTTTGATGTGTTCAAGATGAAACCTGACCAGAGAACAAAGGGGCTGTCAAAACCCACTCCAAAACCAACCGCGCCAGTTAGTATTGAGTTTCTGTCATCCACGTATCTGTTGCGCAGACACAGAGGTGTTGAATGTTATGACTACAATAACAGAGACACTTGTTATTCTTCTTTAAAAATGGCTGATGATGGCTCTCTGCAGATAGGCTATGCAGCATTTTTTTTTTTAATCCCACTTCTTACAAAGGGTCAATGACTTGTCACAACAGATCCAGTCATGCTACTGTAAATGTACTTTGACCTCCAGAATGACTTTAACTTTGTCAAAGGTTCTCCACTTGAACAGCGACACCATCACTGGATGACAAATCACGCAAACGATACAGTCCGAGAGTTACACGCTTGTGACATTGCCGGAGAAAAGCGAGAAGGTTCTCGCCGAGGGCGTGCCCGTGCCGTGTTGCCCAAAGAGAGGCATTCCTTTTCAAAGCGATGCGGGCTTCACAATGTTCCCGCTCGACGGATGAGTGCTACTTGAATGTTAATGAGGGCTCCTTCGGACACACATAAATTAAATGATTAGATGTCTGCAATCATGCAAGGTCCTTAGGTGTCTCCTATTTATGGCATTCGGAATGTAGCTGCTTTTATTTACGAGGTGTCTGCCCGGCAGGGCTTTGCCACCTGTAAATGAATCATTGTGGCAGGATCGTCGGGCGAAGAGCCCTCCCCAATTTGGCCAACTTAAAAAGAAATTGTAGCATCCGCTGAAAAGCTGGAGTTGTAGATGTTTACAAAATAAAATAGGAGCTGCCTGTTTTTATCCAAAAGCCCTGTCCACCAGCAACGTATGGATGTATTTATTTATTCATGTCCAAAAGCCCCGTCAGAAATCTGTCTCGCTCCACCAGCAACGTATGGATGTATTTATTTATTCATTCACATATCGGTCAAGCACAACATTTCCCGCAGCAAACAATTTACAGTTGCTTACTTTTTATTCATGGATATTATGAATCGCTTCACCGACATAAAAAAAAAAAATGCCTTCCATCTAAAGCTGTGTGTGTTGCTGCAGTTTTGGCCTCCTGGCTAAACAGACTCCAAATCTCATAATTCCTTGCTGCAAATATGCCACACAATTGCCTAATTTTATTAGTTTTTTTTTCGGGTTGCCATTGCCGTATTGACATGGTTTTGGTCCTAAATTCCGAGAATTAGTGGGTGCTCTGAAAATGACTCTTATTTGTTGTTATCCAATGAAACGCTTGAGAAAATGGGCTCCTGGGGACCGCTTACTTGCCCCCTCGTTTTTGCATCCTTCGGAATCCCCGTTTCTGCTTGAATCGACGGCTGTTTTCATCTCCATGATTGCATTAATTAGAGCATAACTCTTGTGTCTCGGCTCCGCCCGTCTTTTCCCTACAGAAAACCGGAACGAACCGTACATACTCAAACTCACTTGGCACTTCATTAATCAACAGATGAAATCAGCATGTCTTCGCGTGACACGTGCCCGTCTACGGTGGAAGTGAATTCATTTTTCAATCTTTGCTATGCGCTTCAATCAGGAGATAGACGCCTTTCTAAAGGACGGTCGGTGGCCGATTCTTTTGACTCGGACGAGCAGATTTTCAGGCTCGTCGGGTCACCCTCGGGTGCTGCGACAATGAGAAGCGGCCAGCAGTCATCTCTGCGGTCTGAGTGGGCTTTTTGTGTGTTGTATTTTAGACATCGGACACTTCTCTTAAAATCTATTTATTAATGTAATGAATTTCTGACTGCAGTGCCAGTTCTACTGAACCCGCTTGGCAGCGTAATTCTCTCCCACATTTGCTCATAGCCGCCGGGGAACATTATATGAAGGCAGGGCTTACAATACCATCAATATGCCCCAGATGACAATCGGACGTCTCATAGATATTAATGGAAGTGCAAATTAAATCAAAGTTGGATTGCGGCATTCGGGGCTGTGATCAATGCCTTTTGCACAGCCAGATTTAATATGGGGTCGGTAATTTGAGTATCCAAACAAAATGTGCATCTTAATGGGGAAAATGAAAGTAATCCCACATGGGGTGGAAATAATACATTAGCCGCATTGTAATTTGAGAACTCAAGAGTGCAATGTTTCACTTGCTTCCTATTAATGTTGAATAAAAGCTTGACAGATGCAGGATGTGAAAGTCGGAATTGTTTTCCGACACCTAGCAAGATGTCACTGGAGGCCTCTTTGGATGACAAAATGAATTTAAAAAAAAAAATAAATAACCCTCATCATGTTTAGTAAATAGTGTCAAACCTGAAACAACTAAAAAAGGGAGGAAAAAAAAAACACGCGCTAATTTATTTCTGCCAGAAGCAAGGACATGACAGTTATTGCATTCACAAGAAATTATTATCAAAAAGCAACACGTCAGGTGCGTTTGAAATATTTCATTTGATTATGGAAAAAATGCGCTGGGAGACCAACACACGAGAAATGAGCACAACGAAAAGGCATGTTGCTTACTTTCTAGACAATCGATTGAGCGTGTAAAGGTAACCATGAACATCACCGAATAATTTAAAAAAAAAAATGACTTGCACGTTTACTTCTTGCCAATCACTCGAAATACACACTGTATGATTACAACCCCCATCTCAAGCAAAGTGCAAAGCAAAAATACTGGACTTCTGCAGTTTGAGTGAATTTTAAACCTGAAGGCAAAATCTACACACTGCTGTGAAAACCCCAGCGAGCTGTGAGAATTCCCCCACCGATCATCCAATTTGGTTGATAACAGTGTGATCACTCGAAATACACACTGTATGATTACAACCCCCATCTCAAGCAAAGTGCAAAGCAAAAATACTTGTTGGCTGTAGAAAGTGGTCCCTGGACAAATTCAATTCATTCCGTGACCACGTTCGTCACTCGAAACACTCCTATGGAAATGCCGCTGATCCTTTTTAGTGTCCCAAAAAACACCCAATCAAAAATGTTGTAACAAGACTTTTGATTAGAAAAATTGCACTCTACAGCATTGCGCTTTACAAAAATGTACAGCGATGACATAATTAAATAGAATGTCAAGAATTCGCTGCCACCAGGAAGCAGAAAAAAAGCACACACACAAAACAAAGAGAGAGAGACCAATAGCAATACAAAACTGTATTTGATGACAACAACATTATAAGGAGTCAGTTTCTTCCTACAGCACATTGTGTGCACTGAAAATTAGTCGAACGCACTGTGAGCAAGGGAGGCAATGAGGAGCAAATAAGAGAGGCCCACACAGGGCAGAAAATGGACGCCAGTCAGTCACCGACAGCGGTGTGTGCGGTGGGAGTGGCTCCTTTGTGCTGTTGCACACGTCTCCTCACCACCAAATGCTCAACTCCATGACCAAAGTCGAGTAATCTCTTTGCAGTTGGCTAAATGCGAAACAAGAGAGCGTTATCCATCAATGAAAGTCTTCTGACAAACGTGAAGATGTCGTCCATAAACCTTAGGGGCCTGTCGGCAGCACACAGTGCCGAATTGGGCCGTTCATCGGTGACCCTGAGGTTCGTGTGAACGTCCACCACAGTCAAACGTTGTGCTTGACGCACCAGACGGCAGCATTAATCAAAGGAGATCTGAAGTAGGACGGGGCGACGAGTGCCTTTTCTTTTTGCTCATTCGCACCGTGGTCCTAGCGCCAGCATGACGACCCCCACTTTGGCGGTAGCAAAATTGTTATCATTATTATTTTGGTTTTAATCCATCCATTTACTTTTACTTGTCACCTATGGCTGCGGGTGGGCTGGAGCCCATCCCAACTGACTTTGGGCAAAAGGCAGTGAAGTCTTTTAGGCAACCAGACATCCGGGATTTCGAAATGTGGGAGGAGGCCACAGGGCCAATAGCAAATAAAATACGACAGGAAGGCCCAAGCCATGTTTCAAACCCACAACAACAACATAATAATAATAATTATTATTATTGTTATAATTGGTATGTATTTTATTTTGCATAATTGTAATATTTTACTGTTCTTATTCACAGAAGGGTGCATTCAGTCAGAGCGAAGGTGTAGCGGTTAGCACGTATCTACTTTATATTTTATTATTACGATTTTATTTTCCAAAAAATAGTGATATTTTATTATTATTATTGATTAACATGAGGGCGCATTCAGTTAGAGTAGCAGTTAGGTTAGCACGTACTGACTAGCGAATAATAATCATCTCGTTTTGAAACATGGACTTGTGTGACTGCAGTTGCTCCCTGTCCACATGCTGCCCCTCAGTGGTGAAAAGGTGTCATGACCTGCAACTGACATGCCTCTTTGACTCTGTTAACAGAGTCCACCAAACAATGAGGGCAGAAATTGAAGGAGAGTTTGATAGTCCATCCCAAAATGTACCTGATGATAAGAATCACATGGTTTCTGCTGCGTCCAATACACATGGAGATAAATGGCCGACAAGCAGGAGAGATGATCAGATCTCACTCCATATCTTAATGGGATCCTCTCACTCGCCATTCCCATTAATGGCCAATCTGCCAATTATGTAAATCAGAGAACGTGTCAGCACTACCGGGGAGAAGTTGAAGTTGCTCGCATAAACAGCAACAGTGTCACATTGCACAGAGTGCTAATTGCTCACTACTTTTCATATAATTGCAGCAGGGGAGGTCACGTCTTCATCTAACCTCTCTTCAGTATTGTTTTTCAGCACACAAACAGTTAATGGAGCAATTAAGATGGGAGTCACAAGCACCACTTGTGGGGGCCATTTGGCATCGGCGCAGATGGAGAGAGGAGGACCCGCATGCTGGACACGCTACTCTCGAGTTTTCCACCAGAGGTGCATACGTGCACCACGGCTGCCTGGTATACACGACGTGTAGATGTGCACCGGCGAGTCCTGTCTCATCAGGAGTCTTTTCCCTCATTTTCACTCTTAAGACGGCAAAGGCCCGTTTGGCAGATGACTGCAGAGGATACCGAGACACGGTCACAACTCCGAGGAGAAGTCGAGAGGGAAAGAAGTCCTCTGTCGCTCGACCCCACGTTCTGCCACCGACTTTGCCCACCCTCTATGACTAAGTTATGCCCTGCCGTGGAGTCGGAGCCATCATATGTCAAGTCGACCACGGCAGCTTGCAGGTCTGTCACTTGAGCCCGTCGACCAGCAGGACTATCTGACAGCCAGCGCTGCACCAGCGCTCTCAGACTCTCCGAGCGGATGAGAGCGCTGTCAATAAGTCCCCTGAAAGGGGCGATGTGAGCGAGAAAGACGAGGGAGGGGGAAAAAAAAAGAGCATGATGAAATAAGAAAGCATCATACGGCTCAAACGAACATTGACAGGAGTGTTTCGGAGCCACCACTTTGAAAGGGCGCAAATAAAATCAGTTTGGCACAGTTAAATCAGACTTGAATTCACAGATGAACGTGTTGAATGGGACTTTCGAAGAAGGCCAAAATATTGAAATTGCTGGAGCCAATTCACATCGCAGCTTGAACTCATACACGTTTTAACCGGATTTCGAAAAAATGCAAAAATTCCAGATTTTCATCATCTCTGTCAAGATGGTGACAAATAAGCTTGAAGGAATACCCACACATTGATGTCGCTTGTGTCTTTAAAAATTGGCCTTAGGGATGAAACTAGCTGTAATTTTAATAAGCGATTAATGGGTTGATCATTTTGTTGGGTAATCAATGAAAAACTATTTTCATTTCCACCCCTTTCATCAAAAACGGGACTATTTCAAACTCACAGTGCATTACATGCAACGGCATAAATGAAGGATGATTCAATTTATGTTTCCGTCACCCAGGAAGTTGGCAGAAATGGTGCTCGGTGTTTTCCAAAGTGAAAGCAAATGTTTTATTTTGAGTCGACCCAAAGATAATCAGTCTGCTTCCAGAAATCGGAAAATACTCACTGTTGGATCTAAAATCTAAGCCAGGGGTGTCAAACATACGGCCCGCGGGACGGATCATTTTTGAATGGAAAGAAACTAAAATCTAAACGGTTCATCGAGGATCCAAAATAATGAATTTAAAAATCGCTGAATCGTTGAGCATTAAAATACACTTCTGAATAATTAACACGCATGTGCTTGAATGAGCGACAATATTTGTCTCGGTGATTAATGTCTGTCAGGCCTAAACGTTGTTCAAGGTAGTGCCAACATTTGGCCAAATGACTTCCAATGAGCCCATGACACCTCGGTTAACATATTCCGCCTCAATTATATTTCTCTTCAGCTGCGCTCTTATCTGGAACCTTTCCCGGCAATCGGAGGTGCTGTTTTCCCTCGGCCAATTTTCACGATAATGCCGCTTATCTCGCGGTGCGACTAAAGTTGCCAATGGAATGAGGTTCCCCGTCACCCTCATCAGCACTAATTGTGTCCCCGTTAATGCATATTTACCGAACGTCACTTCAAAGAAATCAGCTGTCCATACGCTCCGTCGAGACACTCGGCCAGAGTGACTGACAATTGCTTCTCGCCAAATCACAATTAGCAAACAAGTTGCAGATAAATAAAGCAGAGTGGCGCAGGCGGGGCTGCGGGGCTTGCTTTCTGCAAGGGGACTGGGCCTGGCTTGGCCCATACATTTGGAACTACAGGATGTCTCCAAGCTCCTCAATCAAGAGAGGCGGCAAAGGAATGCTCCAATTAACAGCGCGCACGCACACACGCGCACACAAACAAAGCTCTGTTGTTGCAGAGACTCTTGTGAGGTTGCAAATTGGACTCCCTAATTGAAACGAACAATTAGAGCAAATGTTTGGTTGATTCGTCCCTCAAGATGTCATCCAATTAAGCACAGTTACCTGATTTGAGGACTTGAATGGTCCTGTTCAAATGAGCCTCCTCCTGTGAGCGCAAACGCACTCATCTCGGTCTCCTTGTTGAACAGCCGAAGAATGTGTTTTGGCGCCAATGTATACAAATGTGACTGAGGACAAACCGTACAAAGGGGTGACACGTGGGGGAGGGGAATGCGACTAATAGCAAAAATCTGAGAGTAAACGACGTGTCTTTGAAAAGGTTTAGAAATGCCGATGGATCCCATAAGGCAGGCATGAAGCCAAATGTTATTCATTTATTTATTTGTTTATTTATTTTAAGTGAAGAGAAAATCTCTTACCTGGCTGACAGTTTCAGCTGTTGCTTGAGCCTTCATCAAAGCTGTCAATACTGTCTTCAGACACGTCACCAGGAAGTCTTGTCAGCAGCTCCGATGCAACAGCCGAAATTGTCAGCCAGGTAAGAGTTTTTCCTCTGCACTTAAAAAAAAAAAAAAAAAAACAGAAAAAAAAGACCATTGTCTGGAAAAAAAAGCATTTAACCTAATTTAAGCATAAGCACACAAGATGAACATCATAGCGTGGGCCACAAAGTTGTAGTTTTGTCTAAATGAAACTCTTCAACTCACTGTAACGTAGTTCCTTGGCGCCAAGACGTCGCGTTGTCGGTTGTTTAGAGAATGAAAGAAAATCAAACATGTGTTTGAACTCTTTGAGCCGTCGAGTCCGGTTCAAGTCCAGCACTGCAATTCAGCAACAAAACCAGGGAATCATTTGTTCTGCTTTGACCATCACAGATGCTGCACACTGCATGAGCTGCCGGGACAGGGGCTCATTTTCTGCGGCTTTATTAATCATCGCATGGAAAGCTCCAAGTTACATACAACTTTAGTAGTTAACCCCGCCACCCGTCGGGGTGACTGCCAAGCGACTTTGGTGTGAGGCTGCCATGATAAATGCGGAGCGCGGGGAGCCCTGGGGACAGCGACAGAGGGGAAAATTCAGCGGAAAATAACGGCGATGCAAAATGTTGTGGGGGGGGGGGGGGTCAAATCTGCAAGATAGCCCAGGAAGGCCCGGTTGGGCTGTGCCGGATCAAGGTTGGACCTCAGAGGAGCAGGCAAGGAGGAGCCGAGCCCGGGGGCTTACACGCAGATTGAAGGTGAAATCCGACTTATCGGGACAGGAAACGCAGCCCAAAGAGGCCTAACGGCGCTAATCCTCACTCAAGACCTGATGATACCACCTCCAAATACCATTGAGAAAATGCCTTCATCCTTTAAATAAACCCGCATTGATGTTTTTGCTGCCTTAAAGAGCAGTAATCCTCGGAAAAGGCAGAAAGAGAGCATTCTCTAAAGCTCTCCTTAACATTCACCCGCCGTCTCCTTTCCCATTTCAAGTGGGAGAAAACACACTCTTGGCCAGGCGCGCCTTTTACCTTCAATGATGCGTTTCCTCCGAATGCTTCCACTGTTGAAATCTCCGGTAACACGCCGCGGTGATCCGCAGGTGCGCGTCTCTGTCTGTCTGTCTGTGTGTGGTCGTGCATTCCCACCTCGTCACAAAAAGTTCATCTGCAGCCTTGTCATCGTTGTTACCTGGCCGTCCTTTCAAGACTCTGTCTGGCCTTCATTCGGGGGTGAGAAAAAAAAAATAAGAATAATAAAAATGCTTGATGGTGTGGAGGAGACAACGCGCACACACATTCCATTTTAGCAGCTGGACAAAGAGCTGTCATTGTGCATTTTAATTGGGCATTTATGGCTGCTTTTTTTGGGCATCCACTTGGCTGGAACAGGCCCCATCTGATTATACATTATGACAATATTAAAACAGATGTCCAGAGCAATAAAGTAAATTCCTGAAGGACTGTGTGTAATGTGAGTAATTGATCATTTTCTTTCCACCCCACCCCCCTCTCGCCGGCCTCTATTTACCAGCGTGCTCCTGTTAAACAGATTGCCCCCGTAGTCAGGAGTGGCGCCCATATGGCACAGCAGTTTACTGGCAATTTGACTAAACTGCTGATGAAGTGTTGTCGTTCCTCTGGAGGAAACCTGTTGGAGGAGGAACATTTGACACCGCGCTGGCTTTTAACGGCTCTTACTAAAATCCAAAAGCCGTCTTCCGCTGTTCAAACAAGGCTGCTGGCACAGGCTAGGCTTTTTTTTTTTTTTTTTTGCCGCTGCACAGGAAGTCTCCCTTCCCAAGTCGGACCTCGGCTTGGCTTCCGCATCCTCCAGACAGCTCAGCAAAGAGGGGATGTTTATTATGATGCAAACCCGCCTTGGCAAGATGCAATCACAACACTTGGGTTTTCCTGCTCGACTGTAAGCAGACCTGGACGTGACTCGGTGGTGCACGCGGAGTTTAAACGAGATGCGATTGCAAAGGAGAAAAGCCGGCTAATCCCTTTTGACGTTTTGTAATCAACAGCAAGACGGCGGGACACGTAAAGCGATGTTTCTTCTCCTTAGTTTCGGCTAACGAAACTGATGCTAAAAATATACTTTACAAATCGCTTGCGCGCGCGTGCAACACACACACGCGCGCACACAAAATGTGTGTTAACTTTGTCCTCCTTCCTCCTCATCCTTCGCCCGCTCTCGCGACACTTGACGCCAAATGGAGGGATTAAAATGAGGCCTGGCCACGCTCCAGAGGGACGTTGGGGGTTATAGAATCATCACTCACCTATTAGAGCGGCCACGGAGGCAACGTTGATCATCTTTCCGTCTCCTTGGTTCAACGTCGGGCGGGGATCCCTGGGAAAGAAGCACACTCAACACAATTCTTGTCGCAATGATACACTTTGACGGATTTATAACGCCCGACAATATTTGGAAATGGCAAGAAAGTAGTCAGATCACATTGTTAGGAGATGGGGAAAAATGGGAAGACAAACAAAATACTTTTTTTTTTCTCAGTCAATGTTTGACTGGTTAAAAAAAGTTTTCACTTCAAATGGATAAAAGTGGAAAAGCTGTCTCTTAATATTGCCGTTGGCATGATCCAAAAAGCAGACATCGCTAGACATTGTCCTAATTCAGGGGTGTCAAACTCATTTTTGTCGCAGGCCTCATTGTAGTTACGGTTTCCCTTGGAGGGCGGTGAATTTTGTGAAACCATATAAATGTTTAATCACCTCCATATATTACATACACAGTGCACAACAAATTGATCGACAACTAGTTTTAAAATCAGAAGTCAAGAATAACGACTGTTGTTGTGGATTACATATGACAATTTGAAATTTTGGTTCAGACTTTAGCAAGCATCATGGAACTTGACATGCTTGATTTGGTTTTGCGGGCCACATAAAATGATGTGGCGGGCCAGATCTGGGCCCCGGGCCTTCACTTTGAAAGCTGTGCCCTGGTTGAATCTTCTTTTGAACTTTGTGTGGCTTTTCAGATGAATGCATGCTCACATTTCTTGAACTATATGAAGTGGTTTCTCTCAAGATTACATACAGTAATCAAAAAAAGCATTTACATGGCATGTCTTCCAAGATGAAATGGACTGCATTAAGCCATGTATTTTTATTTTTTACATTTTAAACAGTTCGGAGTGATTCTGCCTTGACAATGAGATGTGTTACCTGGCAGCTGCACATTCAAAGTCAAAAGTTGGTGGCCTTCCACATAACTGGCGTCATCACGAGTTCTGATACCAGCAGCAAAGGAAACAGAAATGATCTGACAAAATTTGAATAGTGTTTGAGACATAGTCATTATTATCATAAAGATTTGTTGAAATGAGCAAAAACAACCCACAATATTTAAAAAAAAAAGGATTCTGAAGAGAAGAAAATTCTGATGTTCGAGAACAATGTCCCTTGTCTCCAAAAAATCGAGTGCTCCATTTCCTTCACTTGTCGGATAAACAAACTTTGGGCCCCATAGAATGGAACCTTTCCTTAGGGTGCCATCTGCTGGCTAAAAGCGCCACTTACACCGAGTACAGCGTTTCAGATAGACTTGAGGCCTCCTTTTTCGAAGGTTTTTAAGGTCACGAACAAGAACAACAACAAAAACCAAGCAAGCACATGCCAATGTGCTTTTGAAGAATTGTACATCCGTTGCGGGGGTGCAGGGGGGAATTCAAGCATACGTCAAATAAGGCTTGAAGCACCACTCTCAAGTTTATTTTCTTGATTATCTCTCCAAGAGTCAGACGAGGCCACCAAATTATTTTATGTGACCGGCAAAAGGAATTTCTGTGCATATGTCATGTTTCTTGTGGATTATATGTATGAAAAAGCTCAAAACTTCTCTATGAATAATGGTGAGATGCCGCAAGCAGGGGCCTGGCGTTCGACCATACTCCTTTTTAAAATCAAATGAACAATAGTTGAGCAAACTATTTTCATTGACGTCTGATTTCAAAACCAGTTATCTAAGAAGTTCTTGTGAAAACAAGGTATGCTGGAGAAGTTCCTGGGGCCTCACTTTAAACACTCGAAGACAGTGTACGACAAAAAAAGAAAATTTAAATAATCAAAATGGCGCGGACGCAGACCTGCGCTCAACACACAACTACATTTTTAAGATCTCCAGAGTTAAGTACCGTAACTCCCCACTGTGATGCTTTTAGTGATGCACTATAAATTCCAGTGCAAATGACAGAAATGTCAAAAGTCTCAACATTTTGCTTCCAGAATTGATTTTGGAGCAAAAAGACCTGGCATTGAAAGTCTCATTCTGACAGCATCACTGGGTAAAAGGCATGCAACTTCAAATACAGAATGAAAAGGAACATTTCCACACTTGTGTTGATAACATTTAAAGTCAAACATTAACAAAATATACAGACAATAACTTGCAGTATCAATTCACTTCTGCACATTGCAATAAATGAGCATGAGTGAATGTCGACATTTCCACAGTGTGGGCAAACACTGGCTACTTTCTAGGAGCCGATGGCTTACCAGAATTTTTCAGCTGAACACCACACAAATACAATGTGCATCAAGACTGACTACATGAGAACATTAATACCGACATATACCGATAATAATAATAATTATAACAATAATAACAGATACACACATCATTTAATGTTTAAAAAAAACAGCAAATCGGATCTATTACAATGTTCTGCCTTAAATTTCAATGGATTTATTCTTGAAACTTTAACAGAGCCAAGAGGCACAAGAGTTCCAAAGTTTGTTGTGTTCTTATCTGACCTTTTCAGGGTCAACAGAATTTGATGCAATTGACACCTGCCGTTTACTTTTGCTGATCCAAACGAGTTCGGTGGGGCGAGGAAGCATCAAATGGAGCAAACCGCTGTTTGTTGACAACTTCAAAGACTGCGTTATCAAGCATGCTGTAACATACCTGCAAATAGCAGAATGCACTCCAAAAAAAAAAAAAAAAAGCACAAATGGAAGACATCCTTTGTGCTATTGGACATCTAAAGAAAACAAGACAGCGAAGATGTGAGTCGGAGTTGTGCACGAAAACATGCTCAGCCTTCACATGTCCATGAAGTTCACACGCCACCTGAGGTTTATGACCCCATTCTGGTTTTCAAGTGTTGATAGGACCATAACAATAAACACCTTACTTCATCATATCTTGCAAAAGTTGCTGCAGCACAGATTACAAAAGAGGAGATGGACGTTTAGGGTAAAAACGCGACAAGATGCAGGCTGTGGTTGACCAAAGTTCTCAGGCAGGGTGTCGATGGACTGATGAGCACGTCATTGCAGGGCTGATACAAGGATAACCATTCATAGACACAAATCATTCTTCCACAGAGTACACACATACCATTCCTCTTCACTTGGGATCGTCATGATAACCCCGCCCACCGTCCCCTGCCCCGCTCCGATATCGTTGGTGCCAGAGTCTGGTCCAACAAATAATTGGGGCCAGCTTAAACACCAGCACCAGAGCTCCAGCCTATTTTCGGTGGTGGAAAAAGAAAGAGCTGGTGCTAACCTGGCCACTGGCCCGGAACCGGTGGAAAAGGGACAACACAGGCCCAGAAAGGCCGTATAGCCGTGGATTCAACCCAGATCGCAACAGGTGCCTGTTTGCTGCGTGGCAGCAGTGGAATTAAAGCAGTGTACCTTGTCTTGCTCTAAATGCGGGGTGGCCAAGTCCGGTTCCGGAGAGCCTCTATCCAGCTCCTCCTCCAACACACCTGATTCAAATGATCAGCACGCTTTGCAAAAGCCTAATAATGACCCCAGTTGTTGCAATCAGGGGCCGGACAGGGGCTCTCCAGGACAACAAATTGGGCCTCCCTGCTCTAACCGGATCCACACTTTTTACAATCCAAAAAGACCATTTTGATTGCTCATGAAAATGTGTGCCTCGTTGCTGAGAGGCTACAAATGCAAAGTCGGTGAGCGTAAGGCTAAGCTAACAGGGGCACACCTTGTCCTCCATTCTAGAACTCGAACTGTGGTGGGCACTAACCGAGCCGTCTGGAGACATTGAGGATAGTAATGGGTCGCTTGGGGAAATGGGTGACAATGTATGATCCCTGACCAACTCCTTCATTTTACAGGTCCTGGGGTTTCCGTATGGGCCAGAATCCCCAGTGTCGCTGGGAATGGGGTCAAAGGTGATGGTGCCATTGTTGAGGTCCAACGTGGTCGGAGGGGACATGTCAGGAGCCGAGGCGTGACGGTAGAGCTCCGAAGCGCAGTCATCGAGGAGGGGCTCCTGCTTGATGACCCGGCCCATCATCTCTGAGGTGCACACCGATGGGGACGAGACGACGGTGAGACCGTGAGCGCGGGCTTGGATCTCCAACTCCTGTGCCAAAGCCGAAATAGGAGCCGATCAGCGCAATGGCAAAATTGCTGCGACCGCTTAAATCAGGCCACCGCTTGGAGCCGAGAAAAAAAAATCTACGCTTAAAGCCGTCAGCTGCCATCGTGTCTTGGCGGAAGTGAAAAATTGTGTCTCGAGCAGAGCTGGCACATACAACACACCGCAATGAAAAACTCGGACTTTCAAAAAAAGCTGCTCAGGTTTGAAGGAAAAGTGGGCCAAAATATCGCCACGGAGATGTGGAAGCACAGTATTGACTGACACTTTTTCAAAACACTTGATTTCTGGATTTTAAGGTGGCCCAAACAGTCATTAGGATAAAGTGGGGGCGGGTGCTTTGTACTTTTTCACACAATTCCAGCTTTGATTAGGTTTTTTTCCCCTCTTCATAAACGAATTTTCTCCATTTAAAACTTTCATTTTATATTGATTTGAATTGGCATTTGTTTGACATTGTGAAACGTTCAAGTGGGCAAAGAAGCGAGTTTGAGAGGAGGGCAAATAGTTTTTCGCAGCAAGTTGCACGTGGCAACCAACCCACCTGGATACGAAGCATCAGGTGACGATTCGTATGCTCCAGCTTGCGCTGTCTGCACTCAAGCTCTTTGGTCCTCTGCTGCTCCCTTTGGAGTTTCCTGATATAGTCCACTGAAGCTTTCAGAATGGTGCCCTTATTCCAGCGCATGTCCCTGCAATCGGAGACAAAAGGTCCAAAGTCAGAGTCAGCTGAGCCGGCTGACCGGAACAAGAGAGGATTCTTCATGGCCATTCTGAGCAAATAAAGCGTTCCACTATAAGGGCACTTGGCTACGCCAGGAGGACCGTGATTGAAATCATGTCGATAACCGACTCAAACGTGAAGAAAAAAAGGAACACGTGTGTGTCTGGAACGCTGTCAAGTCATACTTACGGATCATTTGACTTTGGTATTAGGGTTCCAAGTTCTTTGATACGATCGTTGATATTGAATCGGCGCCTTCGCTCGACTACAAACGGGATACAAACGAAATGTGTCAGTCAACAGAACTTTTGGAGCACGCATTTTCATTTTGCTCCACATCACCGACGTCATCACTGCACAAGAATATGTGAAAAGACTCACTCAAGTTGTGATTGTCCTTTTTCTGTCGTTCTTTGGCCAGAGCGCGAACCTCAGCCTCTTTGAAGCAAAGACAAATGTGAGATTTTGGCGATGAACTGGGCAAACTCCAAAGTCAATCATGTGTGCCAGCTGTTATCTGCACATCTCAAGTTGTTCATATTGTGTGCGATTTTGTCATTCACAAAATACTGGACACCTTTTCGAAAATGCAAATCGACAACCACTTTCAGCATTTGTTTTCTGTTGCTTACCTACTGGAAAGCCATCTGATCTCTGATAGTTTTCGTACCGGCCACAGGGTCCAGGTTTGCCCAGTACTTGCTTCATGCCAGGAGCTGGAGTAATTATTTGGCAAATAATTGATAGAATACATGGATTTGTATCTTGTGCATTTCTAAATTGCACACAATATCATTACTTTTGTCATTAAAAAAAACAAAACAAAAATAAAAACAATGGAAGGGCAAGAAAATAGCCCATATTTGTTTTAACCAACCATTAGCAGTGAACTGACAACAATAATTGGGTCGTCATGAGGATGTTGGTTACTGTAATGCATCAAGTCCAAACTACGGCCCGGGGGCCATTTGCGGACCGGCATCCGTTTTTCACTGGCCCGCGGCATATATTAAAAATTACATTTGACACAGCCCACAAGGAGTGCCTCAAAAAAAAAAAAAAAGAGGGGGGAGGTGGGCAGAGTGAGAAAAAAAAATAGGTGCCACTACTACTGATAAATTGATTGACATTTTGAACAACTTTTCTAGATACGTAAAGATCCAAATGAACTTCTGAGTGGTCATCTTACTCCTCTTTGCTCTTGTTTTGCTTCGGAATGTGGAGATGGGATTCGGCTGCCGTTCAGTGCAGGGGTGGCTCTAGTCTCGTGAGATAAAGGGCTGTTGGCCACCCTAAAACACGTTGAGCAACTATGTAACCGTTTTCCAGAGTAACCCGAAAACGTTAACAGTATATAATGGCTTGCTTGACTGATTTTAGCGTGTTTAATGAATGAAGGTTGAAGAATTTTACAGTGGCCTTTGCATCGTTGCATTTTCATGTGTGCGGCCCTCAAATGAAAAAGTTTGGACACCCCTGCTGTAATTCTCAATCGTGTTCACAGGGATTTTCATTGTTCGGACAAGTCCGTAAATACCCATGGGATGTTGGGAGAATGTATTCATCGTGGGAAGACAGCTTTGTGTTTTTTTTCTCTTAATTATTATTTTACCTGTATATTCCCTTTTGATGTTTGGTGGGCAGGAGTTGCTGATGGCGAGGCCTGGGTGGGGTAGTCCTTGGTTGCCGTATGCTTCCAGAATATTACCAGACACTGGTAGCTTGAGAGAAAATTGAGAATTGTCAAGATGCATTCTTGATCAAATTGACTCGATTATTTCGAAAAATATGGGCAGTCAACAACACGGCTGAAGTGAGAAAAGCAGGTTGTAATTACTGCGCTGTTCAGTTGAAGCCCTTGATCCATCAGTCCAAGAACGTCTTCATTGTAACTTGACTCCATGCTGATGATATCGTCAATAACTTCATCCATCTGTGTGACGTGAAAAACAAGAACGCGTTTCATGACGTTCAAAATAAATAGATCAATAAATAAAATGCTCCCAACTGAGAAAAACACTGTCGAGTCACCCAAACATAATGAAGTCATGACTTCTGTTACGCGTACCTCTTTCTCACAGTTCGAGGTGAGGGTGAGATGAGCCATGGGACTGTTGGGGGCACTACTGGCGAGCCCGGGTGGCATGCCGTGTTCGGCTGGCTGGCCGGGGCACTGGCCGCCGGCTTTGCCTCCCAAGGTGGTGGACAGATACTGTCTCACCTGCTGCCTTTGGTTCTGCTGGATGTGGTACTTGCTGGGATTTTCCAGATGGGATTGCACCTACGCGAGCAAAAGACGGGCCTCAATGTTAGAAAGGATAGGCTTTGGACTCAGGCTTTATGCATCCCTCCATAAATCACAAAAAAATGCTTTTCCTCGTTCAGATGAGCAAGATGACCATTAAGACGGAGCGAGACTACGTATACGGCACGTGAGAAAAGTACGTTTTTAAACCACTTCATGGAGTCAATCAATATTTAGCCCTTTCCAGGCATTTTGGGGAAAAAAAGCAGCACAACCCCGAGGTTCTCAGCATAATAATAATCCATCCACATATCCATCCATTTTCTACGCTGCTTTTCCTCCACATAGGTGAGGTGGAGATTTTTGGGCAAGAAGAAGTATGCACCCCGGGGGACAGATAGCCAAACGACTACTCAAGTTCACATCCGCTCCTATTTTTAGTCGTCGGTGAACAGAACTTTGATGGTTTCGGGAATGTGGGAGGAGAAAACCCACGCGAGCATGGGGAGAGCATACAAACGCCACATAAGAGAAAAGCCCGGATTTCACTCCCCGATCACAGAACTGTGATATGGAAGCGAGAACCAGTTGGCTAACATGCCTCAAGGATCATGATCTGCCGTCGTCATGAAATACTCGTAGTCATTGTCACTACTGTATTGACATGTTTCACCGTTTTTCCAGATTTTGAATTTTGAACGCGACGCGCGTTTCGCTGGTGCCGCGGTGGCCCAGTTTTGACATGAGTAGTTCGAATCCAGGCCATGGCGAATAAGTGGTCATGAAAATGGATGGATTGGAAGTTGAACAGATGTTTTTTGGACTCCACTGGACATCCTCATCAAGGGGAAAACGTTGTGTCACATGATCACTGACTAGTTACACAAAACGCGCAAGTAAAAAAAAAAAAAAAAAACTGGTGAAAAAAAAAAAAAAAAAAAAAAAAAAAAAACCATTGACTAAGAAAAACAAGTGGTCATGAAAATGGATGGATTGGAAGTTGAACAGATGTTTTTTGGACTCCACTGGACATCCTCATCAAGGGGAAAACGTTGTGTCACATGATCACTGACTAGTTACACAAAACACCCAAGTCAAAAAAAAAAAAAAAGCTGTGTAAAACAAACAAACAAATAAATAAATAAACGCCATTGACTAAGTACAGCAATGCCGTCATTTTACGTCAGCATTTGGGAAGAAGCTGGTCTGCACATAATCGATGGCACCATTTAACAAAAGAAATCCACACGATCGGCGGTAAAAGGCTCAGCCATCTTACCTGGTAGTGACTGTATTCAAGCATCTCCAACATGATATTTGTTTGGAAAATGTATGTAAAAAAAAAAAACAAAAAGGCACGTTAGCTACATTCACTCTTATGTTGTCAAGTTATCCCGTTAGCCTAGCACGTTTAAATGGGGGAGCAGTCAGCCTTCCTGGCTAAGTTATCAAGGATTTAAGGCTCATTAGTTATGCAAGTTAAGAAATGGAGGAGGACACAGAAACTAATCCTCCCACTGCTGTGTTGTTCTCGCTAAACTATGAATTTATGTCTTTATGGAGCCCGTTTGACGTCACCGCTTTGGGCTCACAAAGAAGTCTTTTTATGATTTGGCCAGTAGTCTGCGAACGAAAGCTAGCTTAAGGCCAACTAACATTTATTCTTTCGTTCTGCTCATCAAGTATAGAACATTGTTTGTTCTTATTATCAGGACTACAACTGAGTGCTACTGTTCTCCTAAAAACCACACATACCAAAACATGAATGTACGGCAAGTTAAAAAAAAAAAGGCACTCAGATTTGTTAACCAACATTTTGCGGGGGCTTTGTTTAGAGGTGAACTATGTTTGAGGGAGGTGATTTTTTTTTTTTAGTGCATAAAAACATAGGTGTTTCCTAAAAAAAAAAATTATTTTCGAATAAATTACTTTCTCATCCTCCTTCTTCACAACATGGTGCGTGACATCTTTCGTCATATTTACAGCATTAATGGGGGTTTGACGTCTAATCTGTGCCAGTAAATTGTATTGATTGATTTTGGGACGAACTATTGACCGTGGTCTCAAAACTGTTGAAATGGAAACATGCTGAACCGAATCATACTGGGTTGGTCGATATAAATAATGGAATTAAGATCGAAGAACAGATAGAATCAATCTGGGTTTTATTTATTGGCCACCAAATGTCTCCCCGAGTGTGAGAAACAATAGTGGATGTGCACGATTAGGCTTCTGTTCAGAAATAAGCATGTGTGGTGGAAAAAGAGGCCCCGTGGGTGCTTTGGCGGAGGGAAGATGGGGGAGGTTCTCACCAAAGAAAACGAAGTTGATGATATCTTGCTCAGGACCTGTTGATTGCTTTCGCGTCCAACACAGTAATGACCAAAAAACACGTAGCATGACAACAACGGTTCAAACAACCGAGTGAATGAGCTTTCATGGGCCGGTCTGAGGTCTTCCTGAAACGCAGTCATTCCGTGTCCTATTCAGGGACGCAAAGAGGCTCGGCTTATACCGGCTGATTTCATCTTTTTTTAAAAAGAAAATGTACCGTATATTGATGGGTTTAATGAATGAAAAGAAATCGATGTTAATAAAAGGTTGAATTGCTCTAGAATGATCTTTGTTGTCAGTACCAGTGCTTCAAAACTGGCAATTTAAAAGCAATGAAGGAAAAAAATTTAAAAAGGGGACCACTTCACCACAGTACAGTGCCCTCCAAAAGTTTTGCAAGAGCAAGGTTGGCTCCTTTGTTTTGGTTGTATAATGTAGAGATTTGGGTTCTCGATTAAAAGATGAATGTGAGACAAAAGTTCAGAGTTCTATAATTTTCTTTCATGGTATTTACATGGAGACACCGGCAAATATCCTTCACCCAAACACACACAAAGTAATTACAAGACTCTAGGCATCAAAGTCCTGCCCCGTCCGTGTATGCACTCTTGTTTACAATCAAGTAATTCACGATGTTGCGACTGCTCTCTTTGAGGAACAAAATGGCTTCATGTGACCGGTCTGATTTGGAAAGCTTATCTGAGGTCGTCATTCCCTCTAACCAACTTCACTTTTTCCACATTTGACTTTGGACGACCGGTTCCATTGCGTCGATGTAATGAACACGTTTCCTTTTTGGGACCTCGTTCACGAAACTAGACATAAGGAGACTGCTGACCGAACAATGGACAGTTCTTCTCTCAGGGTTTTCCGTTTGCGTGCGGGCCCTAAAATAGGGCGCTGGAAACTAAGCATTGTGGGTAAAAGGGTCAATTGGTACAGATTAACATTAGCGACTCATGTTACCAGCGTTAGCTTCTGATATCGGCGCATCATAGCACTTGAATGTTCAGCTGAGAAGCCAGACTCACCATTGGCCAAGAAGTACTCGGGGTGAGGTGAGGGCTTGTCCACATGCATGACAAGGGCCGGCCCCTAAAACGAGCTCATTTCAAGAATTATGGTTGGATGAATCATGCGATAATGTCATCCTTGAAATATTTTGACAAAAGCACGTTACAGACATGCTCATCAGGGCGTGAGAACAAATTTGAAATTGAAGAGAAAGAAAAACACAATGTCTCCTTTGATGGGGAAATCAAGTCAGAAATGTTCCGAACAATAATCCGATCAATGCGCCTCCATGCGTCTGAAGATGGCATTCTGATAAATATGATGCCTTTGGAATGTGAATTAAGCAGCAAAATCCACCCGATTTTGCCACTTGCCGTCGACTGAAAATGACCTCGCGGTCCCTTTGGGCTCGGGTTGCCAACATTACGTGACCAAATCCAAAGAACAGGTGAGCTGCGATTGGTTGATTTGAACCGAGCACTTTGATGATTTGAACGACTCAAGCAGCGTGTTGATGCGTCGTCAGGTTTATTCGTGTGGACTTGGGCACCATATAAAGCGTAGTGTAATGATTAAAAAAAAAAGGATAAAATAACAGGTCTGCCATGTCATCTCCTATATTGCCATGAGAACTCACACAGGCCATCTTTGTTTGGATTATTGGAAAATGATCTGGGGAGACAAATACAAACTCGGTGGAGGTGCCCTGCGGCACAACAGTGGCTGATGAAAACCAAGAATGCCTTCATTGTCAAGTCGTAGCCAAGTCTTTCTTAAAGTTCCCTCTGCAGCGTGGCCTTTTCCCTCAACCCAACCTTTGGCTGTGAAGGGAACTGTGAACAAAGGATGTCTCTTTTAGCCCCTACAAGCTCTCACTTTCTTCACAGAATCTTTGTGAGGCACAAGTTTATTACCTTCTCAAAGAGAGCACATGGGTCCACGTTTCAGACTTTGCCTTCAGGACCAGTAACATTTGAAGGGGTAGGCGTCATTCCTTAACCCCTGAAAAGAAATAGATCTATTCTTATCGTCCAAGCAACTTGACTTCTTCCTGTGTCGACAAGCCTCACTTGGGGGCATGTCATCTTTCCAAACATTTACTGAGAGCCAATTGTGTTAAGACGCCAAAGCCCGAGTCGTTTTGACGTAGCTTAAACGTCTTGTCATGCATGAGAGTAGTGGCGATGAGGCAATACAAATAGTGCGCAGAAACCTGTGCAGCCATGTGATTGAAAAAGACGGCACTGTTGGACTTGTAAGTCGTAGTGGTTTCTTTTTTGAGTGACCGTCCCTCTTTTAGCAAAAAAAAAAAAAAAAAATAATGGAGCCTTTCACAAGATCTTTGCATGCAACGTGACTATAAAATGCGTGGTCCCTCTTTTGACAGTCACTATAGTCAAGACACGTCTTGCACCCGCTGAAATGGCCAAAGAAGCGTCACTACGTTAAATCATCACAAACTAAAATAGGGCGTGCCATGGGATATTTTCTGATGTGTACAGGAAACATACACAAAAAAAAAAAAGAACGTTTATTTGCATATTGGTTCGTTCAAATGTGGTGTTTACAGTTTGACAGTAATTCACACGGGAACATCAATTTAAATCATGGGTGGTATAGAAAGACCGTGGGAAAAAAATCCTGGAGGCAGCATAAAAGCTGGGTAGTCTACGGAGCAATCGAGAGGTGGTCCTCCATTTCTGAGATCTACCCGACTCATTCATAAAAATGTTAGAATGTTCAAATATTTTTTCCAAACATTTTTTTTCAACACTTTTAAGATTTTGTTTTTCATGGAAGAGTATATTGAATAATTATCAGCGTCTTTTTAAAGATTTTTCTGGATTTGTAAAAGAAAAAAGAACTTTTTTGGAGTGGAGGGTGGTGGAGTACAACAGGGATGGCCGCAGCCCCTCAGTGATGCACTTTGCTTTGGAGTCAGACAATCCTCCATAGAGAGTCCCCAGTTGGTGCAGAATGTTGCCGTGCGCCTCTTGACTGGTAATCGGAAGAGGGAGCACATAACTCCCTCAGATCCGCGGACCAGGCATTATTAGAGGTACCGAGAACTAAACGGGGGCTCAGAGGAGATCGAGCTTTTTCCGTTGCCGGTCCCTCTCTTTGGAATGAGCTCTCGGAAATAACTGCGCAACAGACAGGCAATTTCTATCAACTGAACCAGTAAAAACTTTCACTCGGCAAAACGAAAATTAAATAACAATACAAAAAGCAATGAGGGCTCAGAACAAATCAGGGAACTAACACACCACACAGTAGAAAAAGAAAAACAAAAGTGAAATATTGTCATAAAATTCGAAATGAATTCGGATCATGAACCTCATGCGACTTCCTCGTAAGCTCTGCCTGAGCTACAGCGGGAAGCTGGTGCCATACTGTGCACTGTTGCGTCACTTCCGTCATCATTTAATAAGCTTAATGTATCACTCCGTTACATATGTAGCGAGGACAAATTCGTGACTCGTATTACTTTTTGGCAAGGAACGTGTTTTTGCGCTGTTCGCTATTTTGTTGGACGGCCCAAAGTTGTAAACAGCCGCTGCCGTGCCCGCTATTTATCCATCATACAAAACCTTCACCAAAACTTGACGTAGCCAATACATTTTTAGCCATTCTGAAGAGCACTATCAGATAGCGGAGGGACAAACTACTTCTTTAAGAGGAAGAGCACTGGACAAAGAGATGTCTTTGCTCCTTTGCCTGTGGCCAGTGGTTAAGATTAGCAAGAATTAAATATCCTTTTCCAAGAAGAAAACACATTCCATCTGTCCAATCTCTGTGAAGTTGCACTTGTCCAAGTGACTAACAATAGTGTTTCATTGCTCGGCTGTTTCCTGTCAGTGAGCAAAGACACTTTGTGATGTACTTTATTTAGAGAAAAGGTTTGCACAAGCCGGATTTAATGTTCCATTATCCTGCCATGCATGTTTTTTGGAATGTGGGAGAAAAGCGGAGTACCCACAGAAAACCCGCACAGGCACGAGGAAAACATGCAAACTCCACACGGGAAGGCCAGAGCCGGATTCGAACTCACGACCTCTACACTGTGAGGCGGACGTGCTAACCAGTGTAACCAAGTGTTAATTTACACGTTTTGTATGTGATATAAGAAAATCGTAACCAATTATTAATTTACACGTTTTGTATGTGATATAAGAAAATCAAACTGATTGAAACAGGAAGACTATGAATCCACGTCAGATTTCATTAGTGTGTGCATGCTTTTCTTTGCAGATACTTTCATGAAAAAGCCATCTAAGTTGCAAGAGAAAAGGGCTGTCGGTACTTTTTGTTGGGGTGAAAAAACAAAAGACTCCCTTCACTCCGTTTCAAACTTCCACCAAAATCAAAAAGTCAAAGTACACAAATGTATCATTCTTCCTCTCAGTACGCCTCCAGTGCAAAGAAAAGGTCAGCGTTTCACCGCAAATGTCTGCACGTGGCGTTATATGATTTTTCAATGTTGGGTCTTTTCCAGGCCATCAAGTTCTATGCACCTCGGTGCAATCGCACC